ACGTGCGAGTGGAGCTAAGAAGGGGAGAGGAAAGGGATCGAAGCCTCTGGAGAGGAATACCCCATTCAACGCCATCTCAAGGGTTAAAACGCGAGAATGGATTAAAGAGGTTAATTAAGGGTTACATTAGGTTTAGTTAACTAATAACTTCCAATTTTTACATCTTTCAATTCATTCATAATTTATATATAGTATTATATATCAAATTGATCGATTTGACGCAGAGAATTTTATAAAATTAATTCGATTAAATTCTGAGTATGTGAAATTTGAGATCAAAATTGATTCGATTGAATTCCGAGTATGTGAAATTTGAGGTCCATTTTAACCCGCCAAAATTTTTTATCAAAATTCTTAACAATTGGTTATTACAGGTTTTCACCAACTCTATGGGAACAATAACCTTGAATACTTATTACAACTACAACAATCAAGCATGAGTAAGAGCGTTAAAGAACGTTATCAAACCCCTAAAACCAAACATGTTTAATGATGTCCTAAGATCTAATGAGATATGCGAAATATGAGCTAAAGATTATAATATCTAATGAGATATGTGAAATATGATCAAAAGATTATACATAATGCAAAAGTAATTGAAATATGAGTTAAGACAACATTTTTTTTTGTGATATATCTAAACATAACTAAATTGCAAATACATTGACATCAATAGCACATTCATACTTGGAATTTATTAAAAAAACATCAGGAAGAGGAGAAAATTTTATGGAAACATTAGACAAATGAAAAAAATTAAAAATATAATAAAATAAATAAATAATGCACAATTGTCTTTGCTAGTCTGAAACTCTCTATAGACAGTGACAATACATTAAGGCTCCGTTTGAGAAGACTTGCGCCTTTTGTTCGATCGCATTCAACACCGCCGCCGAGAAAATAGACCTTTGGTGTCCGAGCATTTTCGAAACGTCTCTGAACACCGAAGTGGAAGAACACAAATATTTCGCATTCCAGAATGATCCTAAAGAGTCTCTTTTCGCAATGGGACATTTGAAAGAGCTTCTTCGAATGGCAAAGCTCCTTGGAATGGAAGCCTAATATGCAAATATATGAAAGAGCAGTAGGTGGGGGAGGACTTCAATATTGTATTAGTCCATTCAATAAATCACAATCAAATGCCTCAAATAAAAGGCTAATACTCCTTGAGATAGAGCTCATAATCCATTCTTAAAATGCATTAAATTAACAAAAGAAATACATTGGATGATGTAATCTTATCTTTAATATATGAAATAAGAGCATAAATTTAAATTAAAATGCCACAAACTAAAGATTAAATATGAAAAATAATCTGACGACTAGAAAGTTAGAAATATATAAAACATCATCTCAAGTAAAGGAGAAGATCTTAAAAAATTTCCCCTAAATAAGAGAGAGAAATCCAATAGCAATGATTAAGGGAATGAGAGTTTGCGCAGTGAGAGATAAATATTATCATGGGTTTAACCATCACATGGGAGTGAGCAACAGAATCTCAGACCTAAGATGTACTTAAGTGAGCACCAGCAGCAGAATCAAAGGAGGAAACAACATGAAAAGTAGTGGTAATTAGAGGAAAATGTTGTAGTCGGCGATCACAATCTACTTGGGAGAGAAATAATTCAGAATAAACATTAGTAGAATCGAGAGTAGGGTGGAAAGCGAGCAACTAAAGGATAATAAATTTTTTTCTCAACAGCAATCAAATAAGTGATTAGTTCTCTAATTGTGCAAGAGAGAGAGAACGGAATTGACATCAGGATGAAGTCTATCACCATAATACATGACTACCACAACCAAATGTAATGCTAGCAGCTAAAGCAGTATCTTTAAGATTAGGAGTAGTAAACTCGGCGATCTAGAGAATTTAAAAAGAGCTAAGAATAAATTAAAAACTGCATGGTTACTAACTAATTGAGCTTAAGCAGACAACATAGATGGATAGACACTAAAGAGAAACAAAGCAATATGAAAATTCTCTCATTTTTTTCTCTCAAGTATTGGGATGAGTGATGAAAAGCCTATATTAAATAAGTTTATCTATTTACTTGTCAATGAACTATAGTAAGCTTAAACATATTTATCACTGTACTGCAAAGAAATATTTTCAGAGTAGAGAGTCTGTACCCAAACAATATGTTAACTAAGGAAAATATATGGAATGAAAAAATTCTACATTTCTTTGGCACTCTCATGAAATCATTCATTCAAAACTTTTACGTATCCATATAAGAATAGCATAACAAAAAAATTGATACTTCTTATACCTAGGAAGAGAGAAAATCAATACAATGGTATTTCTCATGAGGGCAAATAAGAAAATAAAAATCTTGATGTTATTGACTTCTACAGTAAAACCAATGTTAACGGAGTAGGTCATTTCAGAAGAATGAGTAGAAGAAACCAACAAATAAACACCAAAAGAGAAAAAGAGAACCGGAAAGAGTTAGTGAATCATAAAAATTCATAATCGGACAATGCGGTTGAGCAAATGCATGCATCTGAGTGCCTGGTTCCCATGAGCTAGAGCAGATTATCAAAAAAAGTATGGGTCATATGAGTCCAAGTCCAAAGGCCCGCCATGACTGTGGGATAAATTGTGCACATTGGCGTGGCATATAACGCAGCAAGGGCTAATGATGCAACTAGCATAGTGCATGAATGAGTGGATCACAAGGGCATGGGGCACTGCACGCTAGAGACGAGAACAACGGGGTGCAACATAGTGGTGCAAAATAGCACAAAATGGAGGGGGAGAGGGAGTAAGCAAACAAAGAAAAAAAAAATACATTTTCTGAGGCATTCTATAGTGCAACAAACTTGGTTGGACAACCCCGAACTTTGTCACATCTTTGCCTTTTTTACTTCTTTTAGACATGTTCTTTTTCATTTTATTCCTCGGGAGCTTAATAAAGCTGCTCATTTTTTTGGCCAAAGGGCTATTTTACATAATTTCTCTTTTAATACGGTCCATGAATCGTCGGAGCTTTTTGTCATTCTCTGCATAGATAGGACCCCTTCTAAGCAGGTCTAAGGACCTGTTTTTTGTACTCTTTTGTACTCCGTTTTATGTTTAATGCAAAATGCACACCCTTCAGGAAAGGTGGGGGGAGTTGAGGGGAGGGAGAGTAAGCAAACAAAAAAAAAATTGGCATTTTTCATGCGAGCGAACAAGCAAAGGCAACATTGGTAGATCACAACACAGATGAGCAAAGCAAAGTTAGCATAGAAATGAGTTAGCATAATGATGAAACATGAGAGAAAAAAACAAGTTTAATTGGATAAAAACCCTAAACCAACTTTAATACCATGTTGGTAAACTTAACCAAAAAAAAAACTAAATTAATTTCTCTCTAATATTGATGAGTGAATACATGAGAAAACACACAAAAAAAATAGAAATAATAGAACGAACAATCTCAATCAAGATAATACATTATATATTAAAGACCAAATATTTATTAATTACTAAATATCTATATACAATATGATTTATAATTGAACTTAATATCGAGTACTTAACAAATTACTTGTTGAACAAAAAACGAGTTTGTTCATGAACATAAATAAACAAGTTGGACTATGTTCATGTTTAGTTTATTTAACCTTTGAGCTTTTTAAAAATTTTCAAACATGTTTATTTACAAATTTAAACAAACATGATTGGGTTTTAATTGAGCCAAGTTCAAGTTGTTCATCGAGTGCATTGGTTCATTTACAATCATAACAAAGATATTCTAAGAATAACTATGATGCATTACTCAAAGCAATAATTAAAATCAAGCGCAAATCATATAAAACAAGAAGTGAAAAAATTATCAGAAATACAACTTAAATCTTTCAATTTTAACCACCATATGAAAATAAAAAAGTTTTATAACAACAATAGCTTCTACCACTTTATTTTATGCCTTTGCACCATAAAATACATGAAAATAGCTTATACTTGAAATTAAATAACTTAATTCAATAAATGAATATTCAATCAAGTAAGCACTTGTGATAAATCCTAAGTAGAAATTCAATCTATCGCATGATTACAAGAAGTAGAAGCGGACATGCTTGATGGAACAAATCAAAATGTTTTCTATCCTCATAAAGTTTATTATGATATTGGACGCCCATAATCGTCCAAGCCAAATCAATCAAGTCATATTGCTAACATGAACAAGTTCAAGAACTCATTAACACTTGAACCAAATCATTAATAGCCTTAACTTTCCTAGAAGAGCACTTCTCATCAAGTAGTCTAAAATCAATTTACCTTTATGCCAAATTTGCCAAGAGAAAGGACAAATTCTCCCATGAAACTCTACAATAGAAGGCACAAATCACCAAAGTTACTCACCCACACAAAGCGAACTAGATAATCAGACCCACCATAAAGCTCACTAGAGATTCTCCGGTGGGATTTCTTCCTCAAGAACTTGCCCACAAATTGGAACTAATCAAGTGTTGCCAAAATATTTGGGCAGATTTAGCCAAGAAGACTAAGATTTTTTTATAGCAATCATTAGTAAGCTTTATTATAACTGTCTATTACTCAAATATAGTCTATCATTTAGCATTGAACAATGACTTAAATTTATAAATAGGGAGTTAGGGGATGAGCTGGAAAAACCTAAAATATATTTGTATTCTCATATCGCATCAATCTTGTGTTCTAACTAAGATCCAATATGAGCCTAGAAATTCTGTCTCTACGGTTAGATTTGTACTTGTTAGAAAGGTTCTAGTGTCACTACAGTGTTCTGAATCCAATAGATATAATAAAAGACAAATATGTATAGTTTTGTATTCAAATGTTTCCAGAAATTTTAACGCATTAATACTAACTAAAAATTCAGAAGCATGAAAGGACACAATGTCTAGAGGTGTCAAAACTGAAATCTAATATACCATGCTGATAATAGACATTTAGGCCCCTCTACTGAAATGAACTTCTCCATATAAAAACATTGGTTCAGCATACGAAGCAAAAAATAGAAGAAATATACCTGGAATCCCCAAAACAAGGAATACAAATATCGTGTAACCACACTATTTTCGGTGATCAGATTAACGGCTTGTACATAAATTCCATACTGAAAAGCTCCATCCTTAGAGAAGCAAGCACTAGCATTTGTGTTATTTTGCCAATCTGACCTGTCCGAACGAGAATCCAATTTTTCATCAAAGTTCCCACTCCCACAATCAATAAATGAAAGGCATAAAGGTATCCCTGAATCAGAGCATGCATTCTTTAAACATTGGTTCACTCTCTGAAAGGAAGACGAAAATCAAGATAAATTACTGAGAATTTTGATGAAATAACTCTTATTTCTTTACTTCCATGAAAACCCAAAGAAAATTTTACAGTTACAATATAAGCATAAATGTTGAAAAGAAGAATCTGCACCCTTCAACAAAAACACTTTCCATGCGGCACTTTGATTTGAATTCGAAATTTAACAAAAATAAAATAGTAAGGAAGAATAAAGGCATCCTAAAAGCAAATTGTAATTAGAAGTCTATAACTACTAGAGGATCCAAAAAAATGCAACCCTCCTGAAAATTACTAAGGGTATAACTACTAGATGAATTTAGAAAAAATTATGTTGACTATGATTTTGGAGTGATTAATGAAGGTATAACTATATTAGATTTTTCTTTAGCGTGTGATTTTGGTATTACTAATATTCTATTTAAGAAAAGAAATGAGCAAATTATTACTTATAAGAATATATCTAAAAAGACACAAATTGATTCTTTTCTTATAAGAAAAAGACATTGTCAAGCGTGTAAAGATTGTAAGGTCATTTCAAATGAAAATTTAAGTACTCAACATCGATTATTAGCTCTAGATTTTAAAATGAAAATAAGAAATACAAGAAAATATTATCATAAAATTAGATGGGTCACCTTATATTTTTCACAGTTCTCTAAGTTTTTACAATTAAACCAATTTTTATAACACAAATTTTTAAATTTTATTGTTTCTTGCACATTATTATTTCACCACGAACTATTTTTATTTATAAAAAATTTTTCTTTTAATTCTCCAAGTATATCTTTTGTCACTTGTTTAATAGTGGTTGTTACTTTATCCCACATAGAATTGCTTCTTCATAAACATCCCAAATATTAAAATCTTGAAGTACACTCATAAAACTCATTGTCTTTTACGTTGAAACTAAAAATTCTGCTTTTAGAAATCTTTATAATAGATTAGGTACTAAATAGGGTCAAAAATATATGCATAAACTAGTCAAACAAAGAAAATAAAAATCAAGTTTTAATTCAAGTAAAGTGTACTAAAAAAGAAAATTAAAATAACTTTTCTTAGAAAAAGAAATTCAACATAAGTGAGTGAACTATTTTGATAAACTTTTCAATGAAATTTCTGATAATACGATCGACCTTAATGGTCTTAATATCATTAATAAAAATAATATGATTTATTTTTACCGTTGTATTAGTTAAAAAGTTGAGCAAAATTTAAAGAAAACCAAGAGTAAAAAATCAGTAGGATCTGATGATATTCCAATTGAAGTTTGAAAATATAAAGAAAAAAGGGGATGCAAAAGAGTGTGCAAATTATAGAGGAATTAAGTTGATGTGTCATACTTCAAAATTATGGGAGAGGGTAATTGAACATATGTTAAGACGTGATACAAAAATTTCAATTTCTCATATACAAAAATTTCTCATTTTACTTTGGATTTATGCGGGACAAGTGTACTACGGAAGCTATATATTTATTGAAAGATTTGATGGAGAGGTACAAAGAGAATAAGGAGGATCTACATTTGATTTTTATTTATTTGGAAAAAGCTTACAATAAGGTTCCAAGCAAAGTCCTTTATAGAGTTCTAGAGAAAAAGTGTTAATATGACTTATATTCAAGTCCTTAAAGATATTCATACTAAAGTTGTTTCTTATGTTCGAAAAGAAGGGGGATTAACCAATTATTTTCCTATTTCAATTGGATTACATTAGGGACGGCTTTAAGCCATATCTTTTTACTTTAGTTATGAATGCTCTTACTGGACATTTACAAAAGGATGTACCTTGGTGTATGTTTTTTGGCTGATAATATCCTTCTTGTAGATAAGATTAGAGAAAGAATTCAGGAAAAAATTAAATTATAGAGGCTTGCATTGGAGTCTAAAGACATTCGTTTGAGTAGATCTAAAACTAAATACATGGAATGTATTTTTAGTAGTAGTAGCTCTACTGACAGCAGAAACAATGAGTGATCAACTAATTAAAAGGTTTGATCATTTTAGATATATTGGGTCTATTTTTCAAAGTGATGGTGATATAAATGGGAATGTGATTAGCAGAATTCAGGTTGGTTGAAGTGGAGAAATGCATCAGATATATTGTGTGATAGAAAAATACCGATCAAACTGAAAGGAAAATTTTATAAGATGGTGGTGAGACATGCAATGCTCTATGCCACAGAATGTTAAAGAAGCATAAAATAAAGTTAAGTTTTGCTGAGATGAAAATGCTTCGGTAGAAGAGTGGCTTAACACTTAGAGACAAAGTACGAAATGAATATATTCATGATAGGTTTGGTGTATCTCTAGTGGCAGACAAAAAACAGAAAGTCGTCTCAGATGATTTGGTCACATTAAACATCGACTATCCGATGATCCTATTAGAAGAGTAGAAGTTTAGATTCGATGTATGTTAAGAAATGCAGAGGTAGAACAAACAAGACTTGGGCATGCTGCATAAAAAAATGATCTTAATCTTTTAGAATTCAATGAAAATATGACAATTAATAGGATGCAATAAGAAAAAAGGATTCATGTAGCCGCCCCACTTAGGGGGATAAAGACTTTTTGTTTTTATTGGAAAATAAAGAAAGCCTAAAATTTGTTTTGAGTGTCTTTAAAAACAACTAAACATATTATAATCAATGTTTTAAACGCACACATCGGAGTGCGCTTCAAGCGCATAGCAAATAAATTCATTTGTCACACGCTTCACTTCAATATCGAGCGGCATGTCCTAATGAAGCACACGATTCGGGCTTGAAGCCCGGTTTGGGGCTGAACCAAAGCGGATCGGTTCAATGATAATGAGAGAAATAAAAGTGTTTGACAGAAAATTTAGGTTTCGAAGAAGTTCATGAGCAGACCAAGTGTTCGAGAGTTCAAGGTGTCATCGTCTTCAACAGTTCGAGGAGCTAGAACAACTTCTTCTAGTGTTCGTCTTCGACCTAGGGTTATAAGTGAAGTAGGAGTAGATGTTTATGGTCGACAGCTCGTGGCGTCCCATCCTCACCTTCGACAATTTGATTTCGACCTAGAGTTCGAAGTTAGGCAGGGCAAACATCGGTGTTCAACAGTTCGAGGTGTCCGAGCATCATCCTCAATGATTTGACGTAAAGCTCGAGGGAGCAAGCTTTTTGTTCGACTTTTGCTGTCCCTAATGTATTCATTTCGTTATTAGATTTTTCTTGATAATAGCATCTTGTTTGCTTTATTTTTAAGTTTCTACATGCATAAATATTACCTTATCCATGCATGAAAAAGGAGTGGGCTTTTCTTCAACAGTTTGGCCACTCAATTCCTTTTTATGTACATAACTATATATCTAAAACCTAAACTTCAATATTTACATAAATACTTACCAATCCATGTTTTATATTTGCTCATGAAGGTATTTATACATTAATAATTTTATACAACTTTGAGCATTTTGGTTATTAAAAGTGTTGCTTCACTCTGTGCTTTAAAGCCTTGTGCATCGCATTGCGCTTTTCCCTTTTATAACACTAGTTATAACGTACCAAACTTGTTTCAATTTAAATAAAAACATAAACAAAATAAAACAAAAAGAAAAAATAAACAAAAATAAAAATTGATCGCAACAGCCTCCAAACATTTAAAAACATCATCATTATCATTAGTCTCGTCACAGCCATCCAATTTCCTTTATAAACAGTTACACCTATTCATTCCTTTTAAGTATTTCTTAAGGTTCAATCTATTTTATGCAGTTTTCCTTCATAATCCTTCTATATAAATTTCAGCTACGCATTTTATTGGTGGAACTCATACCATACACAATAGATACAACCTAAATCTATTTTCTACTACGCTAACTTCAATAGATTCCACTGGCTAAACCCTAACATATAATTATTTCTTAATCTAACCCTCCTAGTCTAGTCAGAAATCCTCCCTAATATGCTTTTTTGTGTCATATTTAACTAGGCTATCAATTACATCGTTGCTCAATGCTATAATCCACATAGTTCATGCAGTCAAGAAATTTGACACTTGTCATTGCTGGCTCATATTTTTGAAGAGAAGGATGACCAATAGGAAGAAGATGAAACTTAGAAAGCGGAGCACGAATAAAAAGAGCAGGTGGAATCTATTCATCTTTATAAGAGATACTAACAAAAAGAATGAAACAGAAAACAAGAGATGCGAAAATCGAGCAAGGATATCGAAAGAGCACCCATATGCGAGATCTCTAGCAGAAACGAAGCTATGACAACATGAAATCAAGGTGAGAGCAGAGGAACAAATGATGAATGGGAGAGGAATCGATCACTGTGCAGTTCACCAACATAAACCAGCATGGGAGCAGTGAGCAAACTCATGCAAGTAAACAATCGATAAGAGAAAGACAGAGGAGTGGGCGCGTCAATGAGCGAGAAGAAGTGCAATAACCGTGTGTCTATAAATAGATAGATATATATATATATATATGTATATATATGTATATATATATGTATATATATTTTAAAGCCCAAAAAGGCTAATATATTAAATAGAAAGAAAGATACAGATGCAATATGTGGGAGGGCCCAAGCATGACACCCTGCCCACACAAAAACTCACAAATGTTTCCAAAACTAGAAAAAAAAACAGAAAAATACATTAGATACTAAAATAAAAAACCTAACAGTGCATAAATATATAGTATCAGGTGGCTCAAGGGTGACCTAATTTGGTCTTGCCTCTGCCTCTAGTTCTAGGGTAAGAGCAAGCTAATAAGCTGGTAAGATGATTGTCATTGTCAGTAGTAACCAATGTATCATCCAATATGTTCCCGAGCTGGAGTCGGCCTACTCTTCTTCTTCCTCCTAGAATAGACTTGTGATTCCTCTTCCGAAAAATCAGTCTGATGGTGTGGTAGAACTGAAGCAGAAGGATTACCAATCGTATTACCCACAATAGGTTCTAGTATATGTGAAGAATGAGTTGCCTCTATACCGGATACTTCCTGAAGTAGTGGAGCTATGAGGCTCTCT